ACTTGTAGGGAACAAGGAATTGGGAGCAGAGAAATAATCCCATCTGACATCACTAGTCACCTCATAAATCTCGTGCCAAGGTTACCCACTGAAAGGGCAGAGCAGAAGGATGTTCCAGCCTTGGTACTTCGAGGATGTTCCAGCCTTGGTTCTTCAAGGATGGCATAAGACAGACAGTGACAAAAAGCAGCTATCATATATTCTTCTTTGCTTCTAAAAGGAAATCTGTAAGATTCTGTTGTACTTTTCTGACTGTCTATCAAAGGAAAAAAGAATTGAAGAAATCCACTTTAATGTATTTCAAGGGGAAAATAGCTTACTAGTGTTTCAACCTAGGAACATAAATATTTATTTTATGCTAAGTCAATGTGCAGACTTTTATATGCAATTCAGCATTTAAAGAGGACAGATTTAGTCAGATAAGCATGTGATGTTCATTTAACTAAGGCAGTACAAAATTCTTCATCAAAATCTATAATTACCAAGAGGCTTGTTGCAGAGCAAAGATACACAAATTTCCCTGCAAGGATTCTGGATTTGAAAAAAACCCAACACCCTCTTTCAATATTTCCAGTCTTTTTTCCCCTTCTTTAAGGTTCCAATTGCTGGTTATTTAGAAAAATACTAATGTCTCATAATTTATAGTTGCACCATAAAAAGAAAAGCAAAAAACTCCCCTGCGATGTATCCTTTGGCTTTTACTTTGCTTCAGAAAATGGACTTAGGTTCCTGTGTTAATGTTAGTTCCATTTCCAAAGCACCTGAACATAGCAATATTAGATATGTGTAAAGAGTCAAAATCTGTGTATAAATAGTTCTGGTTTATTCACATTAAGCAACAGTCAAGTGTGATTCTGCAAGTAGCTTTTCACGAGGAAGTTGTGCCTGAGACATCCACATGTCTCCAAAAAACCATCCTGAACTAGAGGTTCTTTAGGTAATGATGTCAATAGCAATTTTACCCTTTTAGCTTTAGTATCTTAAGGTTACCAGTTTTGTAAATACAGAACACAAGCACTGCTTAAGAGAAGTCACCTTGAAGTTACAACAGCAACTGTGAAATAGCCTCTCTTGGCCAAATATCTGAATTCTGCCTGAAATCCTCTATTACAGAGTTGTAATGTGCATATAGCTGTCTTTTCTTTGGGTATCTCCAAAGTACTTTTCCTTACTGCTTCTCTCCTCCAAAGTCAGCCATGACATTACAGCAAAACACAATAGTTTTTGTAGTACTATTTAACTGTATTTAGAGTTAGAAGAGATTAAAGTGGCCCTGCA